TCACCTGTGGGGAAGTGGTGTTTGGAGAGACTCCCTACCTCAGACCCTAATTACTGAGGAAGAGGCATGGGTATTGTTTTGGTACATATACATTTCACTTCCCTCTGGTACCCTGGGATAGGGAACCACAAATAGCCAGTAGCTGCTCTCTGGCTTTTCATTCCAGGGAAGTTATACCTGCCACCCCCACACACGCCCCATTTTTCATTGTAGAGGGGCTTTTGGATCTCACCAAGCAGATGAGAGGAGGTTGGGCCAGCACTTGCTGACACCATGCCTGTGTGGCAGGCCTTCTGTGGCTTCTTCCTTCTAGGGGAGCACTGGTTAGTGAGTGGCCAGAGAAAAGACATGACCTGTGGCAAGGTGTGCTCATGATCCTGTCCCCATGTCCCCAGAATTTATTCTGACTGTCAGATCTATGGGCAGGAGGGAGTTCCTTCTGCATCAGTCAGACACCACTGCTTGGGGTTTGCTACCTTTCTCCTTGGTGCTAGTTGTGTGGGGCGCTGGAGCAAGCCACAGCCTGCCACTGCCAGATCTTTGGAGAGAGCCTTGCCCTCTTCCCTTCCTGTGGGGAGTTATGTTTGTGGTATTTGGCCTTTGCTACAGCTCTGAAGTCTGGTGAGAGGTGCTGGGGGGATTTTGAGGCCCATGGAATGCAGAATAGGTGCTTTGTGGGTTCCTCTGGACTGAAGTCCTGTTTGCTTGCCTTTGCAGAGGACTGTGCAACTTGCGTGTCTCTGTTATTGTACCCATTTGGTGCCTCACTGAGGTTGTTCTGATTTGATTGTTTTATAGATTTATTTATTGTTCAAGTCAATATTGCTAAATGCCACTCGATTTGCATGGGAGGGATAGGCATACTTGAGTTTAGTTTTATTTTTGTTTGGTAGTTACCAAAATGTCAAAATCTGAGATCAAGCCATATCTCTCCTTCAGCAGGCAACATGTGTCTAGCACCTGGGACAAACATCAAGTGATCAACTTCAGACAATAGAACAGTTTTCCTGAAATTAGCATTTGGTTCTTAGACCCATAGCCATGAATAACACCCACTTATGCTCAGAATGCAAAATATGAGCTCCAGGACAGATGATAATAAATGAGCCCAAATGAGTTCTCCCCTACAGGAAATGATTTAATAAGTAAGGCTGCCCCATCAGATACTTCTCCAGGGAATGTGATGTAAGTGTAAGGTGAAGTATTATCACAAAACCTCTGTATGTATACTCCTACCAGATCTATTAGCCAGGGAAATATAAGTCAGGGTCAAGATGATTGTACCCTTAAGCTGACATTACATATTGTTTTGGCAGGAAGAGCTGTTTTGTGTTTCTTGATCTCTCTGTAGATGTTAAAACAATCCTGCTGACGGTTGAGGACCTGTCCTATTACCTCCACTCATTTGGCACTGCCCCTGCTGCTTACTGCAAAAGGATAATACAAAGATGCAGTCAGTGACAGGAAAAAAGGCAGAGAGTAAGGAAAGGGATGCAACTCCTCATAACCAATGTGATTATTGACTATGGGAAGGTGTCCAGGGAACAAAATCAACCCAGAAGGACAGAATGAGCAATAGTGCTGTGCATTCATGAACATTTTTCTCTCTTTCCAGAAGCTGAAGATCTTTGGGAAACTCCTGAGTGACAGAGGTAAGTGAAACTGCCAGTGGGTGGTGCATGGGCATCTCTAATGCTTGCAGATCCGAGCTGAGTGCTGCCCTTACCCATCACATGTATTCTATTTACATCACAGCAGAGGGAGCGTCGGCAAAGCATCTCAGAGGAGCAACCTTTTGTTATACCTGCAGCTGCTCCCTTCCCTGTTAGTGCAACCAACACAAAAATAATCACAATAATAAGACTCACACAGTTAATTTTGTGAATGGTGAATCAATTGCAGTCAGTTTGGCCATAGCTGGGTTACTGCATCTTGTGTCCTTGTGATTTCTTACAGGGAAAGAAACACCTGAAATACCTCAGGATGTTTAGGATCGGTTCACCTGGCTGCTTCTCCCAACAACTCCATTCTGGCCTTTTTTCCGTATCTGCTAGAAGGCTGTACCAAAATGTTGATTTTTCTTGTTCTGTCCTCCATGCTCTGCACTGAGGGACTATATTTGAAATCAGTGAGTGAGCTGTGTGTTAAGAAATAGCTCTGGCACTAAAATGCTTAAAATCACTCTTTGTTTCTTTGACTTCTCTCCTAATTTGGATTATCCCCCCGGACTTGCCCACAAGATGGAATACTAAGAAATTATTGTTTTGTTTAATTTGTTTTTTGATGCCCACATTTCCTGTTCCAATTTCAAAGTGAATCTGAGCTCCTCCACTAACATTGCTCCGGCTGTTATTTTGGGGATCTGAGAGAGGGGATTAAAAATAAACGAAGTGCGGGTAATGCGTTTCTTGCCACAGGTTCTCTTAGGCAAGTCAGTAAAAAGTTATTGACATTCTCTCTTTTCAGGTTAAATAGAGGGATTAGATGAAGGGTATTACTAACACAGGTCAAGGTATTAAAATATGGATGCCTAAATTTAGGCTCCTAATTTTGTATTTTGAGCCCCTAAATAAGGCTTGATCTTATGCTCTTTGAAGCCAATGCCAAAGCATTGACTGAGTTCAGTCTGCAAGATGAAGTCCGAAATTATTCTTGAAAGTTCTCAGCGTCTCACAGCTCCAAATAAGTCATTACCTTGCCTCTTTGCAAATCACACATCTTTCATTAAGTTCATAAACATGGGGATCGTGCTTTTAGGTATTCCATATTTAAAATCCTGCCTGTTGATGCTTCCTGTCTCAGGGGCCATGGATATGGGAGCGTAACAAGGCTAATAAAGAAGCCTAGCTGGGACACAGATAGATTTGCTTTTATGGTGAGCAGTGCTTAGCACGAACACTGCAGATTCTATAGCAATGTCAGTATTTATTGTGGTGTAAAGTTAACATGGAAGGCACATGAATGTCCTTACTGGTGCCAGAATTCAGCAAGTACATGACCATTTGCACAAACTTCGCATACACTGCTCTCCTGGTAACAGGATGTTGGCAGGTGGGAAGATCACAGGATCCAGATGAAATATAAAACGAGATGAGCAATCCTGTAGTGGTAATTTTAGAAGCTGGGTTCTGTACATTATTTACAGTACATTGTAGCTTTGCGGAGATAATCCTTGCCACTCATGGATTCAATGTTTTCTGTGGGGTTTCTGTGAGGGACTTCCTTCAAAGCAGCAGCTGGAGGGATTTTGTCCATCCAGAGAAATGTTAAAATTGGAAGTTATTTGCAGTAGAGCTACCTTCATTCATAGAAAGCTCATCTAGCACAAGGGGTAAAGGCACCTTAGACCTTCCACCAAATAAAAGGATTGAGTGAGTTAATCTGCTTGCTGTTGGTCTGAAGTGCAGAGGCCTGGCATAAAGACGGAACTGTTCACACTGAACTGGGACAGAGTCGAAGTGGTTCCTGCCTCTGGGAGCTTTAAATTGGCTTTACCTTCAGTTAATGAAATATCCCCTCTTTTTCCTGGGGGAGGTTGAATTCTCCTTGTCTCTTGGAAGGCATTTTTGGCAATTGTATCCTGAATATAGGGAACTGTAGTTATTTTGGATGGGTATTTGTTTCTTCAGAAACCCTCTGCAACAATTTGTAAAAAAAATTACAGAAAAAAGCAAAGGAAAAGATATTATTTTGCAATGTTTGATCAACACCCACCACTCCGCTGTAGGAATGTGATCCTTGAGGAGAAATGGTTTATATTCTCCTTCAGGCTTTCAGCTGGGCTGGATTTCTACCCTTGCCCAGATGGAAGGCTGTGGGTACAAGGGGTGTGGGTTGTGACCTGCAGCTGGGGCAGTGGAGAGGCCAGATGGGAGCTGCTCCTTGCTCAGGCAGACCCGTCACTCATCTTCCAGCCTTCCTCAGGATCAGTGTGACCAGGGCAACATCCCCACATACTGCACCAAGGGGTGACACAAAATCTTTAAAAATTAAACAAAGGGATGAACACGTCGAAGATCTACCGAAAACGAAGATTTTTTTTTTTTGGGGGGGGGGGGTGTTGTCTCATGTGTTTCTCTCAGCCAGCAGGTGCCTCTATAGAGCCAATGCTTTGCCTGTATCACTATGAGTCTGTGGCACAGCATTGAAATACCTGCTTTTAAACGACAATATAGCCTTTTCTTTCTTTGGTGTCTTTTCCCCCTACCCCTTCCTCAAGCCCATGGTGAGCCCGGGGATCTGCCGGTCTGGGCTTCCACTCCATCTGCCACATAAGGTCCTTGGAGGATGAAAGCAGGAGAAAGACTTACGTTGTCACACACATCTTGTTACTATGTATGCCCTATGAAGAAATATATTCTGTGTGACAGGAACCAAGTAGCTCAGCTGGGGAATGCCAGCACCAAACTCAGCGAGACAAGGCTGCCTCCTTGCCCTTCCAATACCTTCTCAGAAAGCAGGGTGGGGTTTGTCTGGCAAAACCTTCACCCCTTCAGTATGATACCCTTCTGCAACACTCAGCCAGCATAGGCAGGCCCCGGAGCCACGGGAGAATACCACTGGGTTAAGAGAAATAAAACCCACCTGAGGATAACGCTCCTTCAGCCCTTTAACACATAGGTGCTAAAGAAATCCCTGTATCTGAAAAGCCACGTCCTGGGGGGTGGTCAGATGATGGGTGTGATTACAGTTTGTCCCCCGCCGCCCCTCTCCCCAAATGGCTCTGCTGGACTTTGGAACAATTCCCACGGGCAAAGTGAATTTTGACCCGAACATGTATCCATCGGCACGGCAGAAAGCGCGGCGAAAAAGCAGGGCAGGGAGCCGGGTTCGTAATGTGCGAGCCGCGGGGCTACGGCTGTGGCGTACGGAACCGCGGGGCTACGGCTTGGAGGGCGGGGAGGAGGCCGGGCCATCGCCGAGGAGGTGGGACTTGCCGGAGCGTCTCTCCCCGTGGCCGCTGTGATCAGTTGCAGAGTGCTGACGAGCGGCGGGCGGTGGGGCGGGCGCTGCGCGGAGCCGCCGCTGGAGTGCGCGGAGCGGGGCTGCCGCCGCGCCGGGGGCGAGGAGCGCACGCCGCGCCGGCGGGGGACAGCGCGCCACGGGAGCAGCCTTCCCCGGGCACCGGGACCTGCTGTTAGCTTGCCGCCTTGCTTTATCCTCTCGTTTAATTTATTTTTTCCCCACCTATACTTTGATCCGCTGGGATTTTTTTTTTCCTCCCTTTTCTACAGAGCCTTCCCACGCCCCAGTTCCCTCCCTCTCTATCCAGCTTGGATTTTTTTTTCTTTTTTTTTTTTTTCATATATTACTATTCTGATTTTTTTTTTTAAAGCGGTGAACAGAGAGAGGGAGAGACAGTAACCGAGAGGACAGAAGGAAAACGCTCTGTTCGTCCTTTCCGCCACCACCACCCCGATTTGCGGAGAGGGGTCGGGCCGAGCGGCGGCGGAATCAGCCCCTTTCTCCCGGGGAGGCGACCCCCGGCTCGGGGAGCCGCCGGAGGCAGCCGCCGCGAAGAGGGAGCGCAGGAAAAGAGATGCATTGAAAGTTTCCGCGCAAACTTTGCCGTGAGTGCGCGAATCCGAGCGAGCGCGGCGCGGGTGCCTGCCTGCCCCGACGCGGGGAGAGCGCCGCGGACGGGCGCCGCTGTGGAGCTCGGACTGCCCGGCGGCGGGGGCCGGGCGGCGGCAGGGCGGCCGCGGAGCCTGCGCTCGGCCCGGCGGAGCGCCCACGGAAAGCAGCAGCGGGGGCCGGCGGAGAGCCGGGCTTATGGAGGGGTGAAACCGGAGACCCCGAAGAGGAACCCCCCTTACCCCGCAACCCTTCGCAGCGCCCGGCCGGCGGCACCCCAGGAGGCGGCGGCGGGCACGGAGGAGGCGCGGGCGAGAGCGCGGCGGGGCGGCGGCGGCAGCGGGGCGGCGGCGGCGAGGCGGAGCACGGCGGGCCCCGCTTCGCGGCGTGCGCCGGCAACCATGAACTTTCTGCTCACTTGGATCCGCTGGGGGCTGGCGGCGCTGCTCTATCTGCAGAGCGCGGAGGTAAGCGGCGGGACGGGGGCTTTTGTGCCCCGCGTAGCGCAGGAGGAGGGAAGGCAGACGGCCGACAATACTTTTTTCCCCTTTTTTTGTTTTCTCGCTGCCCTCCTTTGCCTCCCACCTGCTCGGTGCGGTGCGGCCGCGCCGCTGGCGCCGGGTGCGGGTGGGTGCCCGCAGCACAGACACGTGTGCGGTGCTGCTGCGGGGGGACAGCGCTGCCCGGAGCTCCGCGGGGCCCCCGGGCAGCGGCAGCGCCGTGCGGAGTGCCCGCGCACATGAGCGCGCCCCGGCGCGGGGCTCCCGGCGCGGCGCGGCCGTGGGGTCCCGCCGGGGCCGGGGCGCGGGGCAGGGAGGCAGCGCGCTGCCTTCTTGCATCAGCCTCGGGTCTCCTGACATTGCAAAAGGCTGCTTCGGCGATATTTGCCTTGGGTCCCAGCTCGGGTTCGTGCCGCCGTGTGGAGTTCAAAATGCTTAGCTGGAAAAACAAATAAGAGATCAAAGAGGACAAAATGGATCCAGAATTTCTTCCAGATTAGAAAAAAGAAAAAAAAAATCAAAATATAGATCTCCTGCACAGAGATTACAAAACCAAAGATTTTTCTCTTCCTCTTCAATCACTTTTACCTTATTGTCATTCTTGAGGAATTAGAAACCAACTCTTCCTCCTTTCCTTTTTTTTTTTAAAGAAAAAAAGAAGGGCAGTTTTCTTTGTAAACCTGTCTTATAAATCTGTTTTCTAAAGAGTCCAGAGGGCTGTGTTGCCAAGAGATATTAAGGGGTTTAGACAGAGTGCCCACGTGAAGGTGGCTGTTCGCGAGGCAGGCAGGCACGTTTTAAAGGTTTTAACAGGTTAGTTCTCTCCTGCCATTTCTGCTCGGCACTTGGAGAGAGCGCGGGCCAGATCATCTCCCACAATCGTGAAAATAAACGTCGCTTGTGAACTAATCAGTTATTCACATTGTTTGTTCAGCACCAATGCTGGAAGGCAACTCCCCAATTAGGAGCCATTTCAGCTGTAACTGAAGTCATGCAAGCACTGCACGCTTTGTTTCTAGCCTGTTATATCTCTACTTTATCCAGTGACAGCCGCACATTAGGCTGTGCTCGGCTGTGCTCGATGGGAACTGAGGCGCACTCTCACTTGAGTGTGGCACAGAGCAGCTCCCTGCTGCCTTCCTGCCAGATTTGGCTGGTGGGACAATTGTTTCTGCTCTCCAGGAGTTTTTCCACCATCACCCAGAATAGGAGTTTCTTTGCCTCCCAGCTCCTCAGTAAAATTGTACAGTAGCATCTGTTCTCCACCTATAGTATAGACAAGTCTGTATTGGTGTCCAGTGATAACACCATTTAACCCTCCCCTTGTTCCTTTTCCCCTCCCCTTCCTCTTCCCCAGAAGATGAAACGTCGGATCAGGTAGAGCCGAGATCTGTCCTCATAAAAGCCTCATGCTGCCTTTCCTCCTAGGCTGGAGGATGGTGCAGATGAGAAAACAATATAACGATGGAAGAAATGGTAGGGAAGAATTACAGGAGTTTGGGGGGATATGTTGCAGGGACAGACACGAGAGATAGCTAGAGGTTCAGGTACCTGGGTGATGTGGGCTGTGTAAGTGCTCAGGCAGATCGACGGTGAGATCTGCCCTTCGGTTCTGTCCTTATTTGTCCGTTGGTTGTCCGGGCACCACAGTGATAGGAACGTTAGAAATACCAGCAGATCTCACGTAGGCAGCTTGGTGATGACTCTGAGCATGGCAGAAGGCATGACTCTTCGCACAGGACTAGGGTTTGTGCTTTGATGATAATATTTATCTGGCTGTCAGGCTGATCTATCTAGCTAGCCAGGCACATTAGAGAGCATTAAATAAAAGCCCTGACAGAGTCTGAGTTGGGGAAGCAGGGTCCAGCATGTGTCAGGCAGCTTTCCTGGAAGTGAAGGAGAAGGGATGCAGGAATCACAGCGCTCCTCTGGTGAGGGTTCAGGGGGATGACTCCTTACTGAGGTAGTTGTTATGTTTGTTCCTGCAGCAAGACTTAGATGGTGGGAAATTGTTTCATGGTCGTGTCTGGGCAGCACTGATGCCACAAGTGTCTGCCTCCACTGGTGGTGATACCTTTCCATGCAGGCTAGCGAAGGAAAGTCACTTTTGCAGTGCCACCCTTCCAGCTGATTGATTGTGCTGAACGGTGTGCACAGTCTTCACACAGCATGGGATTGGAGAGGTTGCATTGTTGTCCCTCCCAGTCTTCCCTTTCCTAGAGAATGGGGGACAGGTGGTTATTCCCCATCTTCCTTCATCTGTGGGTCTTGCTGCCAGCCTGGTGACAGGTCACTCCTGATGTTGGTCTGGGAGCTCTTCCCCTCCTGCCCAGAACAGCAGAGAGACCTGGATATACCAGCTGTATTGCCATAGGGAAGAGGCAGTGATCAGACACTGAGGGAGGGAGAACAAGCCTGTGACTAGACTGTTAATGATCGCACACCCACCAGGCTGCCTGCCTTTGCTGTGCCTCTGCACCACACCACGATGGGGAGCCACCAGAACCTGCTTCCACAGCCCTTAGGCAGCTGGGACGCAGCAGGTCACCTTCCCCAGAGCCGTTCCTGTGCTCTGAGGACAGGGGGCTGAAAAGAGGAGCACTTCTTTGAGAGCAAGGGAGAGGGACGTCTGAGGGGCTCACTGATTCCTGAGCAACCCCAAATCCATTCTCCTGTCTGTTCTGTCAGAGGTCCCTTGGCTGTGCTGGGCAGCTTGCAGGATTACTGACCTCTGTCTGCTTGTACAATGGAGAAGGAGTGCAGTGAGTCCCATTCCCCCCCTCTCCTAAGCAGAAAACGCTGAGAATTTCTAGTGCCTAAGATGAAAAGTGCCTTAACTCCTGTCCCAGAGTCCCTCTTAAAGTGGATGGATTGTTTGTTCCAGTCCTAAACAGTTACAAAGCTCTTTTAATGAGCCTGCACAGATTAGGGGGAGGGGAAGGGAGAAAAAGAGTGCTGGTGGTGGTGGTGAGGGGGGTGATGGTTAGACAGGAATGACTTGATTAACCTTTTCTCTCCCTTCAGAGCAAAGCTTGCTTTGGTCAGGGACTGGGGGAGAAGGGAGGCAGGGAAGGTACAGACGTGTATGGTGTGAAGTGGGTTTATTTATTAGAGAAGGTTTTACCCCATAGAGGGAGGGATGTGCATTTGCTACAACCTGCAAAGAGCACAGAAAGGAGCTTCCTCTGTCAGCCCCATTCCTGGGCTCATTTATCCTACTCTCAAGGCCAGGCCGGGGGTTTCTTCCACACTACTGTGAAATGTTGAAAAGCTATTGGAAGGAAATTGTGTTACAGAACTATTGGGTAATGCCAAAAGCCAGCAGAGGAGAGCATGACCTTCAGGCTCCTACCGAAGGGCACAGTTGGCCTGCTTGTCCTGAGGAATGTTTTTGGTTCCCCATGTCTGATACACAGCAGACTGTTTTGAAGTGAGGCACAAGGCCCTGCTTCACCTGCTGTTCTAGTGGACGTGCTTTGAGGGCACTAGGCACAGGTGAAAGGCACTGCTGAAAGGGCAGAAAAGTTTCTTGGAATAGTGATCAGAGAGCCTGTTACTGATAGTTCTGGGAAGCCTTTGTAGTTTCTGCTGAGAGCTCCCCTGGGAAAGCTCAGAAGCTCTTTGCCCACTTTGCATTGATCTCGTTTCCCATCTTTGGGGTCAGATCACATCCCAGGTCCAGGTGAGCACTGCGAGAGTGTTCTGGCTCCTGCTCCACTACATCAGGGGCAGGGTGAGGTGCTGGCTAGGCACAGGTGAGTAGTGGAAGTGTGTGCGTGGCTTGCTTCTGCTTCTCATCACTTGTGCAGCCTGTGTACTTGCATGTGAGGAGGCAGTGGGCTTGGCAGCTGGCTGGGTAGTTTTGCACAGAGAATGGGCAAAAATGACCCTCAAGGTGTCTCAGTCTGTCGTGGTCATTTTGTGTGTGAACCAGAAATCCCTCTGTGAAAAGTCTTGGAGCCGTTGTGACTTGAATAAACTGACTTGGCTCGTGATCCTCTTCCTGTGCCATAGCAGATTGAGGCTTTTCTGCCCTTGATGCGGTTTTCTTTTTACCCATAGATTGTCAGGCACTGAGTGGCTTTGGAAGGCCGCTGCAGCCTCCGCTGCCTCCATTTTGTTTGTGCTGTTGCAGTGACCTTCACACTTCAGGAATGAAACTGTTTCTAGGAACCTGCTTTTTAAAGTGTTGTCACAGCACTGAGACTGGGCACACAGCCCCCCTCCTCCCCAGAGGAGAAATAGATCCACACATGGGGCAACTCAGGTCTGGGCTGCTAAGTTGTGCCCAGGTACAGAAAGACTTTGATTGAAATGAGGAACAAGTTCAGTCAGGGGGACCTTAGACAAAGGGAACTATGCACAGACACAAAGGAATGTCTGGGAGAGGGGCTTCTAGCTGGCTCTCTTGCCCCCTCCTTTTAAAAGCTGACATTTTCGACTGCTTGGATGGTGGCGCTGCACAGGACTGCTTAGAAGACCATAGGTGGCAGATTCTTGTTGTGAGCTTGGGGTGGACTTGGCCTTAATTCAGTTCTGTCTTCAGCTACATCATCAGAGGGCCTTTTTCTAAGCCTAAGCACAGCATATAGCTGACAAAGCAGTATTTTGTATGGATCCCCATGCTTCTTATGGGCTTCTGCTGAGAAGCAGCAGGTTCTGGGGTGGATGGCATCACACAGGTGGCAACATACCTTGGAGAAGTGAAGAAAGCTTGGCTTTTTCCATTTTGGTTCAGAACAGAACAGCAGGGGGAAGCCTGACTTGGCTGGAAAGTTACGTCAGAGCTAAAGCCCTCATGAGGAGCAGGAAGAGTGGCGTTCTTGTTTCACCTGGAATTAAAAAGACTTCCTTAGTAAAGTGGTGTAATATTTCTCCATACCATTTTGGGGGTGGGTTACCTGTCACCACTCCTGCCTGCATCAGTGCTTTGGAAATGTCCCTAGTCCCAAAAGGCAGCAGGAGTGACTGCAGAGCTTGCAGCCTTTTCGTTTTCGGCCCAGGGAAAGCTGAGGAGCGCAGGAATGGGATCCACGCAGGGCTGGGGACTGGGACCACTAGGTGAGGGTGCGCCCTTCCTTCCATCAGAGAGGAAGAAAACCCGGGCGGTTTGGCGGCGTCCGTCGGCAAAGTGGTGCTGTCATAGTTAATCGCCCTGACACCCGGCCAGATGCCGACACCTCCGTGGCCACCACTGCTGGGTGACAGACATCTGTGACATTGAGAGGGGAGCGATGCCCTTCCGTGCCTGGCTGCCCTTCTCCCCTCTCTGCCCTCCCGGGCCAGATTCACCTCTACGGGGAGAAGCGGTGCCCAGGTCCATAGGTCGTGTCGGCAGCAGCAGGTCTCCCCGTTACTTCCCTCCGCCGGGCTCGCATTTGCTCCCGGTGTTCGCCCGCGGTCACTGGCAGCAGCTCCCCGGGGACGCGCTTCTCCCTTTGGGGCGTCTCTGGGGCCCGGCACACCGCCTCGCCAGCCCCGTCGCCCAGCCCGGGGCCGTCCCGCCCGTGTCCCTCTCGGCTCCCCCGGGGCCGGGGGAACAAAAGGTCCCTCTGTGCCCGCCGGGGAGCGGCTGGGCCTCGGGGGCGCCCCCTCCCGCCGGGGCTCCCTCCGCCCCCTGCCCGGCGGGGCCACGGGACCGGGACCACCGGGTACCCTGCCTGGGACCCCCCGCGCCGCGGGACCGCGTCACGGTTCCGCGTTGTGACTGATTTTCTGTTGTCTTTGCAGTTGTCGAAGGCTGCGCCTGCCCTGGGGGATGGGGAGCGGAAACCCAATGAAGGTAAGCGCTGGGCGGCTTCCCGGCGGGCGGGGACGGCCGGGGGCTGGGGGGAAGGAGCCCCCGGAGCCGCCGGCGGCCAACACCGCCACCTCCCGGGGAGCGGGACCGGGGGCTGCCGGCGGGAGGCGCCGCCGCCATCAACCCCTTCGCGGCGGCTGCAGCGCCCCCGCCCCACGCCNCGGGCCCGGGCCGGGCCGGGCCGGGGGTGGCCGTGGGGCCGGGCTCCGGGGCGGCCGCGGTGCCAGGGCGGGCAGCAGGGCTGGCCCAGCCCGCCCCTGGCTTACCACAGCTCGGAGTGAAACTGCGTGCGTGCGCTGGTGCACATACGCACGCTCATTTATATATATATATATATGTATATATATATCTACACACACACGGGCGCGCACAAAGAACTGAGTAGCGGCGAGCAGTTTGCTGTGGATTCGCCACAGTGCTGTAGGAAGAGATTTGTCAAATTTTGCTGCCCGCCTCTTTCCCGGAGGTGCTGGTGATACCCGGCTGGGTGGCCAGGGCTGATCCCTGAACAAAGGCCAGAGCAGCCCCCAGACGGCAGGTCTCTGAGGAAGAGGAGAAAGGGGCAGTCCAGGATGATTTTCTGGGCTCATACCTCCCAGCAGTCTCAGGTACCCCCGCAGTCAGGAAATTACTAAGCACTGTAAAGAGCCAGGCTTGAAAAATACACCTTTTTAATCTGATTTGGGCTAGCAGACTTTGCAGATTTGGGGAATGGCACTCTGGGGCTCTGATAGGTTCTGTGGGTTCTACTAATTGGTTCCTGGTTGTCCAGTATGGACAGGACCATTGCCTGGTGGGGAAACAAGGTGATGTCTCTGCAGCTGCTGTGATCTTGTGTCTTTCCGGTTGCCCAAAGGTCGGGATGTGACAGTGTTCCCTGCCCCGTTGGTTCATGCAAGTAAATGTAGACCAGAAGGGCAGTCAGCCCTTGGGTTAGTCAGAGATGTCTCCTGTGAGCTTCCTGTCTAGTGTAGCCCTGTGCGTGTCGGGAGGTTGGCTTCTGTCCGCCGTCCTCAGTTCAGCAGTGGGATAAATGGGGCTGTGGACTTTGCAACTTTCAGGCTGAGGTGATCATCACCTGCTTTAAGACCATTCTGACCATGTTTTCCCTTTACCTGCATAGCAGAGCAGATCACTTGTTGCATGGCAGGGTCTGGCAGATGTCTTGCAGGGTCCCCAGGGGCTGTGACCTTCAGCGTTATTCCAGCCAGAGGTCAGCAGAGGGCTCCAGCACTGTGAGCCCAGATTGGCTTTTTTTTTGTAGCAGTCAGTTTCAATTTCTGTAACTTTATTGGTGTGACAGACTCCATGTGTGTTGCCAGAGGTTTGTGGCAGGCTGTGCTTGGGATAGGTGTCCATTTTGTGCTGGCAAAATTTCTGATTTGCTGGTGGGCTGCCGCCTGTTGCGCTTGACCCTTGCTCCTGCTGAAGTCAACAGAAGAAGGTTCAGTGACTCCAGAGGGATCAAAATGGAGCCTGCTGTGAGGCTTATTTTGGTAACCAGTTCTCTACTGTTGGTAGAAAAGAGCTAGTGTCCTCATCTGTGCCATTTGTTGTGCCCAACAAATCCCTCCTGGAGAGGGAAAGAATCAAACAGAATTAACTTCTGTCACAAGAAGGTTGATGGGATTGCAGGACAAGCTGGTCTGGCAATATAAGTGGTGAGACTTCAGCATTATTGTCCTGGTGCTATTTCAGGTTCTGCAATGTAGATATATTTGTGAAATAAAAGTCAGGACTCCTGGCTCTACTTCTGTCCTGTGGTTTGAACTTAGAGGTCCTCTCTCTATACTTCAGTTTCTCCTCTATGAAGAGGAGGTGATGACTGGCCTCTGTTACCCAAGGACGGTCCTGTAGTTTCTTCCTCTGAAGCTCTTAGGGGCTTGGGCTGAAAGGTGGGTTTGTATCTTTGGCCATTTTATGCTTCCTCTGAGCTGTCAAACTGTGACAGGTTTTTTATTTGGGATGGACTTACTCTGGTTGGAGACTGTTATTTTAGCTTCAGCCCCTACCCTTTTGAGCTCAAGAGAGGCTTCCACATGTTTTGTGGCACAGGAAGTTGTAAAGGAATCAGACAAACAGTCTTTGTTTCACGGGAAAAGATTTTCTGGTATAAATAAGGGAAACCACCAGTACTTGTGGCTGCACTTTTATTTTCAAAATAACTGTGTGTCTGTATTGCTGCTAAGCCGTTGATGGGGAGGGCGACAGAATGATCAGAGACTTTCTCCTTTTCTAGTCCAGCATGTTCTCACTCAACTGCTCCAAATGTGAACTTAAAGTCTGCCTTGAAGAGTTAATGTGGGTCCTGTCTGCGTTTTAATCTTCTTTCCCCCTCCATTCACAACGAAGAACCTCTGACTCAAATCTGGAGGTGTCTTGCAGGGTAGGAGTGTGAGTTAATTGTGGGATTAATTTCTAACGTGGGCTGAAGCCCAGATTGCAGGAAGGGAGCAGACCTAGTGGTGTTAGTCTTTCTGTGACCTTCCTATGCTTCCCCATGAAAGAGACCTTCTTCCATGTGTGACATGACCAATAGAAATGAAGAACATGCAGAGTCAGCCCAGCAAAGTGTGGAATATAACTCCCAGTTCATAGGAGTAAGTGTAGGTATGGTAGAAGGGGCAGGGCTTTGCTGCGAGGTTGACTGTACCTCAGTCATGTGCTCCGGTTTGGTTTGGGTGGTAACTGTGCAAATGAACTACAGAGTATTGTGCAGTCTCCATGTGAATGCTCTGTGTCCAGCAAAATAAGGCAATATGCCTTTTGTGGCAGGATTTTCTGACTGGCAGCTAGGGAAAGATGCCCTGGTTCCTTTTCAGAGGCTGATTCAGACTTTGGAAAACCATCACGTGTTAAAGGTAGAAACTCCCAAATTCTTCATGTGAACGATTTAGTCCTGTCAAATCTCTCAGATCTCAAGTGTAGTTGTCAGGGTGCAGCTGTGAAAGTAAAGGCCCTGCAAAGGAAGTTCAACGTGCTGTTCTGGGGCCAATCTGTAGTCTGGTTTCTCTGGTGTAATCCAAATGCCTGGGTAGTGCAAATATTTAGGAAAGCATGACAGTCGCCAGTCAGTTTCACTTCACTTTTCTGCTCTTGTTTTGTGCCTCCTTTATGCCCCAGACTGGTGTGGTGAGCAGCATTTGATCTGCACAGGTAACTGCTGCTTTCCCTCCCTCTTACTTTCCGTCCCTCCCCTTGACGTAGGTCTGTAAGCATTTTTATCCTGAACTATGTCTTTACTGCCAGAGTTCTCAGATCCTGTGTCTGGCACAGTGTGAATAATCAACAGTGCAGTTCAGCGACTGTCTTTGTGCCCGCAGAATTTCCCACGTATTAAATTGTTCAACTTGTTGGAACATAGGCGGTGACTAAGGTCACTCCAAAGGGGAACAGGAAGAAGGAGGAGAAGGAGGTAGTCACAGACAAGATAGGAGAACATGCAGGAGACATACGGCAGTTAGGGGAGGAGGGAAGAGGAAGGGAAGGAACAAGGAACAGAACCATTGTCTTCTAGACAAGGAATATCAACAAGCAGTCCCTGCCTGCGAGGCTACATTTCCCTTTCACAAGCCACTTTCTCTTTTAATAGCTGCTCACGCTCTCTGACACTTCAAACTCCTTGGAGGGAAGCTCCTCCCCTCTTGTACCCGCTCTCAGCACTTCGGCACTATGGCACTGTCAGTCCCACATGACCTAGAATTAACTTTCAACAATTAACTGCGGGCTGTGAGCTCCAAGCCCTGCAGCTTTTGCATTTTTGTGGCAAAGTAACCTTTATGCCAGTTTGTCACAAGTTCAGGGCACTTTAGAAGCGCTTACTGGAGACCATTATTTTCCATGATGCAAGCAGTTTGCTCTTATCACTCTGAGTTATCAACCTTGGTGCTGGAGGACTCTGCATACTGTACAGGTGGATCATTATAGTGCATAACAGCATAGGGCAGGTACTATCTCCTTGTGCATACTCTTACCCTCTGCTCCATGTGAGACATCCTCTGTTGCCAGTGTGGTGCTAGAACTAGGAGGCCTGGAGGGCTCCAGGTACTCATTGTTTGCAGTACTGTACTAGCACCTGGGGTTTGTGTGTGTGTGCTTATCTATACTATCTCTCATCTCTTTAAATCTCTCCAACCCTTGACCAAGCAGCAAAATGAAGCTTTGGCAAGAGACTGGGAAACATTGAGAAATACTTGTGAAATCACTGCAGATCTCAAGCAGTTAGTGTTTGCTCCATTCGTAGGGAAGGCATGGGATAATGGCAGGTCCACCCTGTTCCCCCTCCCACACTGTCTCATTGTGGTTCAGTAGCCAAATATATAGTCTGGTTAATCCTGGGGGTGCTGTGAGCCTACTGTGAATCTTTCAGTGGGTGGCTTGGTTCCTCAGTCTGGGAAAGTGGTCAGTGTGGAGACACGGAGGCTGTGACTTGTAGTGGATGCTGCCATGGTGCCGTGGTGACCTGCTGAGGTGGATGTTCTGCATGGCCAAAAGAGGTAGATGACAGGAAGGGTGAAGATGCATAGCTCCATGGTTCAGAGCTTCTGCTTGCTCTCAGAAGTGTCTGTGTGCTGAGGTCCATACAAAGGATGCTTCTGGCTTTAAAACCACTGGGGCATCCACAGACTGTTTTGAAAGGAAGCAAAGGGCAAACCAGTGAAGGGCCTTAGTCCAGAGTGCAGATTATCTGCTGCAGCTTCAGGGTTTTTTTTTGGCTGAGCTGATATTCTTAGTGGCAGCATACCAGGAGTATGGGGAATAGCAGAGAAGAGGTTTGGGAAAGGGTCACCTGTGGCATACATCATGGTACCAGGAAGGCAGTGAGCTCTCTTGTCCATCTTGCCTTTGCCCTGAAGCAGCTGTAGGAGGAGATTGTCTTTTTCCCTTCCCACTTGATGTGTGTGTATGTAGAGCACAGACAATGGATTTAGGCCTGCAAGGCTGTTAGTGAAGAGCATAGGGTAGTTGTGTTGCAACTGTCTGGCTCACTTTAAGGGGTGAAGTGCTAGACATTCTTGAGCTAAGTTTGCATTAACTTATTCCCTCCATTCCTCTTTTAGTTATCAAATTCCTGGAAGTCTACGAGCGCAGCTTCTGCAGGACTATTGAGACCCTGGTGGACATTTTCCAGGAGTACCCTGATGAGGTGGAGTACATATTCAAGCCATCCTGTGTGCCTCTGATGAGATGTGCGGGTTGCTGCGGCGATGAGGGCCTAGAATGTGTCCCTGTGGATGTGTACAACGTCACAATGGAGGTGAGGGTCCAGCTTGCAATCTGCCATGCTTGGTTGGAAGGAAGCAAGGCAGCCATCACAGCCACCCCAAGTCCCACCTCCCAGCTAATTCAGAGGAAGTGCAACCTTCTCCAGGGAACCCTTCTTCTGACCCTGGTGCTCTGTGTTACACCATGCAGGGTTAAAAGATGAGTTGCCTATGTCTATTTAAGGCTAAGAGGAGAGTCTGTGTTTTGGCTCCTGCCCAAATACAGTAGGTAGGAGCATGCAAAGGAGAGAGAGCAAAGGAGCACTTTGTGCTTAGAGAATGCAAAGGAGCATTTCTGATGGTGTTATCTCTGAGTTCTCAAAGAAGATACTCCTTGGGCCCTTGCACCACCTTAACTCTACACACAGCTGTTGTTCTGAAGGCGGCTGATTAGGGCAAAAGGGGAGAACCTGTCAGTACTCTCTCCTGAAGGGCATGTGAGGTCAACCTGTACCAACAGAGCAGGAAATTTGGGTCTTTAGGTATCCTGCCACAACAGGGGTTAAAGGGGATCTATGAAACAAACTGTTCTATGTCAGTTGGAAAAACCTTTCTGCCTCTGGGCTCTTCCTCCTTTGTTTGGAGGCTGCTGAAGGTGGCCATGATAGCAAAGGCTGGACCTGTGGGGAAGGATGCAAATGGCTTTAGAGAGCTTAGTTACTGCCCTTGTTTGTCAGACTGGATCCCAGCTCTTGTCCAAAATTGTGCTGGTGCCCATTACCTTTAACCCATAGCTCCCTCCCCTGCTTTTGTCCCTTAGCCTCTTGAATGGCTGTCAGTTTTTATCAATATCAATGAGAGATGTGCAGTGCTAAGTGATTAACCAGCAGGTCCTTTTACTTGAAATTTGGGGTGTGTTTGAACTCTGTTGGAGAACCTGCCTGTGCCCTTTCATGATTCCCCATACTCCTTTTCCACTTGCAGGTTTCAGCCACACTAGGTTGGTGTAGCTAGGGATGGTTTTCTATCTACCACTCCTTGCTGAATTACAGTTCTTGACTGCTATGCCTGCATGCCTGTAAAGGGTCAGAGGCAATAAAGCAGCTCTCTAGAGCTAATTTTCCAGCCGTGTTCTGGGTTAAGAGAATGTGACAGTATTCCATAGCTTCTAAATAACTTCCCTGGAGGTACCTGGGGCTGGGGTCTGGGTGATGTCTGGCTTTGCAGGACTCTTCTAAACAGAGATATCCAGATTTATTTTGTGTGTCAAATAAACTGTGACGTCAGCTGGGAAGGAATGGTGGCTTAAGGAAAAGGAGTTGGATTTGGAATTTTCATTTGGGACCTTTGTGTGAGACTGAAGCATGGCTTCTGCGCGAGCAGGCTGGATGTTCAGCTACTGTCTGTCCAGCATCAGCCAGGGAGGGCTCATTGAGGACCTTGCTATGGGGGTACACCCCCTCCCATGCCTGTCTCCAAGGCAGTCCACCAGTGCTGGCACTGGGCATGCATGAGCAAACAGAGCTTTGGCACAAGTCTGGTGTTGCTGCTCGCTTGTGATCAAAGGCCTTCCCTGGCTGGGAGAACAGGGCCTCAGAGCTAGCTCGAACTCTGCCCTGCTCTTCCCAGGAGCACCTGGGGTGTGAGTGCTTTGCTGCACAGCAGCCTGATCTGGGGCTGTGAACATGAAGAGTGAACAGGCAGTGACCCTCTCTGTTTCTTTCATTCCAGATCATGAGAATTAAACCCCATCAGAGTCAGCACATATCACACATGAGCTTCTTACAGCACAGTAAATGTGACTGCAGGTGAGAATTGGAGCAGCACTGGTTCCTCTTGCAATAAACTTACTCTGAGCCTTTCCTTTTTTCTGCCATTGGGTTGGGACTCTTGTTCAGATGCTTCTGCAGCCTTCTCGGTTGGTTTGCAGTGGGATGGCTGAGCCTGGGAGAAGAAGCCCTCTGCTGTCAGGGCTCTTCCATCTCTAGCTATCACAGAGTGGACAGTGCTAGCCTGCATCCTGGGATCTTTTGGCACTAGCTGCCAGCAAGGGTCAACAGGAGAGCAAAACCACTTTGAGACGGACCACTTAACCAGTGCCATGGGCATCCTGCAATGCTGCCTGTACATGTCTTTCCCTGGACTTAGTGGGAACTGGGGATAATACCAGAAGTATATGTGATAAGCTCCCTTCTAATCAGGCCTTTGTTCTGTCTTTCCCCACAGACCAAAGAAAGATGTCAAAAACAAACAAGAAAAGTAAGTGATAAGCCTTTCCTCCTTTCTCTTTTGGTGGTTGGTTGGCATTTCCTCTCCCCACTGCCCCTTGCCCTTTTCTTTGGTTGGATATGCTCACTTTAAGAAGGTGTTTTTGGAAATGGCATATGGTACTGCATGGGGCGATGCTCTGAATCCATTCCAGGTGGTCACAGAAACCCAGATCTGATGATCCTTCCTTCATACCCCAGACATGGACCTTGCATGACCCATGGCCATGGCAGTCATTTCTAATGCTTTTTCCCGAGTCAGGGAAGTCCCATCGTGTCTGTCCTGCTGGAATGGATTCAAGGTGCAGCCCCCATTCTCCCCTTCCCTCTTCCTGGGGTGTTTCTGGTTACTGCAAATTGCTGCCTTTCTTTATTATTAATTTTTTTCTTGCTGCTTGAGTGAGTACTTGCTGGCTTCTTTCACAGCAGCTTTGGTAGGAACTCTGCTGGCTACAGGGAGAGGTGAAAGTAGAGGCCTGGTGGAGGCAGGACTGCTGCCATGCAGGATATGACACTGGTTTTGTTTGGGTGGGGACCTGGGAGGGTGTAAAGGGAGGTGGATGTCCTAGCTGGGTGTTGGTGAAGGCTTTCATGATGGGTTTTTTGAATCTGATGGATTTGCTTTAGTGGCCTGAAGGAGATTAAGTCACAACCTTCCCTTTACTTCCTCCCCAAAGTAAAAAGGTTGTGGAAAGTAGAAAAATAAGCTCTAATCCTGCAGTAGTTGCAGGGATGAGCATAAAATACAAAACAACGTTGAAAAGAAAGAACGAACTCTCTGAGCGAGAGGATTGGCTGGACTGCGCATGGCTGGGAAAGCAACTCTGCCATTTAGAGGTGCAGAATTGGAGAGGAAGAAGTGAATATTTGGAGATGAGGCTGAATCTGAGACCAAAGAAGCAAAGAGGAGAGGGAGAGAGCTTCTTTCACCCCTCTCCTGGTGGTTGTATGTTTCTAGCTGCCTTCCAGCCTCTCCTCCTCCCCCTGGAAATCTGCTCCTGGCTGCACCAGACTGCATGCAGCCAATAATCCTCTCTGCACAGGGCCGTGTCGGGGACGGTCGTTCTGTGTGGCTCTGTAGTTTGAAGGTGTGTGAGAGTTTGGTCTGTGTGAGCTCTGGTGAGGATGGGATGTGGCTGTAGCAGCCAGCTCAGACTGTGTTGCATTCACTTTTCCTCTTCTAACAGCACCTTGCCTGCTCTTTGCTGGTTCTGCACTCCCCAGGGAAGGAAGGGAAGGGATGGGAGAGACTGCTGTGCTTTGATTTGTGCCGGATTGAAAATCTTGTTATATTGGTACCCCTCTCCTCCCTTCAGGTTGATTTGCTTCCCCTCACCGTCTCCCTGTGACTCCTGCCTGACATGTAGGGCAGAACTGGGATTGAGCTGATGCTCTGACACTCCTTCCAGTGAGACGACTTGAACAGGGCCTAGGAGACACCTATGGTGCTTTCTCTTCTGTCCCTCCAATTCCCCTTGACAGCTCTCTCCCGAGGTGGGCTGCACCAGGGAACGAGGGAGCCTTTGCTGAACTGCCTCAGAGCTGGGACTCATTTGCCTGTTAAGCCCTGGTGCTTTGCCTAGGGCCTTCTCTTTGCATGTCTCTCCCTTGCTCCTGTGCTGATGTGGCTCAAGGAGCAGTACAGGCTCCAGCCTCCCTCGCTCCCTGTGCTCTCAAAGGCCCATAGGGATTCATGGTTAACGTCCAGGCCTGCATATCCTAGCCTCTGCCTGCTCAGTTCCTGCCCAAGAATCAGAGGCAACTGGTGAATTTTTCAGAATGGAGTCAGTACCTTGGCTCCATCTGCTAGTCTGTCTGGCAGGTCCATGTGGACGGTGATAGGAGGGAAAGGAGGGAAGAACTGAAAGCTGCTTGCTGATTATCTCCTGGGTGAAATAACTAGGTCAGGCCATCCTTTTCCCCTTCTTTACTCTTCAGTACTCAGAATAGAGGCTGCCAGAGGAGATGTTACAGACATCCAAGTAAGATCTCCTGTAGTCCTCTGAACCACAGGCAGGAGGTGAGGTGGATGAGCATAGCCTTCAGGTTGGATAGCTCTCCCCGAGATCAGATCTCTTCCTTTGTCTGTGGAGTGCTCCCATCCCAAGGCAAGATTGCCCCCCACCCTGCAGCAGAGCTATTGGAGCTCAGCTGCCCCCTCCTAGGCCCAGTGCTGGGCAGTGCATCAGGCCAGAGTGGTTTCCTCTTCCCTGAAGAGAGCTCTTTCACTCAGGTTGCCTTTGGTCAGTTGTTGTGCACCTGTGCTTGTCGCCTGAAATGGTTGTCTGCACTCACCGCGGTGGCGTGATGCTTTCACAAAGCCTTCTGTTCCTTCTCCCTCTCACCCCCTGCCCCTTTCCCACTGCCCCTCTCTCGAGGGAGCAGGTGCCTCTCTGAGGCAGATCCGCCTCTGCTCGCAGCAGCCTTGCAGGAGGTGGTCTCTGCTGAGCTCCCTGGTGTTGGCTTGGCTGTGGGCAGGCTGGTTGCGGAGCTGACAGGAGCGCCGGAGCCGGTGAATGTGCGTGCGAGGTGGAGATCTGTGCTTCAGCCCTGGGATTTACCCTCCAGTCCTGCCTAATGTGCTTCTCCCCTCCCAGCAAGGCACATGGCTGTATTTTTTTTTCTCTTCTTCCTTGCGTTTTCTTCCGTTTTCTCTCTATCTCTCCCTTTCTTTCCCCCTCTCTCTCTTTCTCTTTTTTTTTTTTTTTTTGTTTTTCTTCCAGAAAATCAAAGCGAGGAAGGGGGAAGGGTCAAAAGAGAAAGCGCAAGAAAGGCCGGTACAAACCACTCAGCTTGTACGTTTGTGTCCTCTGCTTGTAGAGTCTCTTCCCTCCCTCTCCCCAAAGCAATCTGCCTGCTTGCTGCTCGCTCAAATCTCACCCTCCCCTCCCAGTCACTGGTGGGCTGCAAATCCTGCAGGGGCACTGCTGGTGGTGGCACTGCTCTGGCACTAAGGCTATCTCAGGGAAGGTGGCTTTAGCTTGCTTGGCTCTCTAATCATCAGTGGTGACCATTGTCCCAAGGCACAAGAGTGTGGTGGGTGGATGAGTACCCTGCACCTCTTCACGCCTTCCGGTTGCAACTCTGTCATCTGCTTTCCACCACTTGTCTCGTGTCCTCACTGCTATGATGACTGGTGACAGGCAGGCTGGCATCTGCCATGCATGTGTGTGTGTGTGTGTGTGCGCGTGTGTGCACATGTGTGTGCGTGTCTGGTGGAGTCACAGGTGGAGAGGAGAGGTGGGACAGTGGGAAGCCAGAGAGGGGGTGCTGGGGAGCCAGAGGGGCCTCTCTGTTTTGTTTTTTTTTTCCCTCTCTTTCTGCTGGATTTGGTGGCTTGTCTCTCTCTGTCTCTTTCGCTGTGCCCCTCTCATGGTGGTTCACAAAATTCTGCATTGTAAATTCATGGCCCCTCCATAGGAGACTCCTAGGTGGTGAGGTTGGGATGGGGCTTACAGAAAGGAGGGCAGTGCTGGCTGCAGGGGTCAGCATGTGATGCTGGAGCCCAGCTGCTTTCCAGGGGAGGAGAAACCCTGTGTATTTAACTCGTTTAGCTGCTGGCCTCTTTCTACTCGAATAGTCCACTTCAGAGAATTCCTTTCACTGATGTGCCAATAGCTGGCTGGGACCTCTCACCTTCCCATCCTTGCTTTCCCCTTCTTTCTCCCTCTGGCCTGAGCCAATGGATCCAATGCAGCATTTGTGAATACTGTGCAGAAGGCCTGTTTTCTTTCTCTACGCTAATGCAAGGGGTTGCTGTCCTGGGGCTGTTGAGGTGCTGCTGGAAAATCCATCAGCCCACGGCACTCCAGTTGGCAGCATGGGGGCTGCGGGAGGGGGCAAGGGGATTGCTTTGATGTTCAGGGTGTTGCATGTGTATTTTCTTTCTGCTGAAGCGCTGTAGCTTAGACATCTTTCCTTTTGCCTTTTTGCAGTCACTGTGAGCCTTGCTCAGAGAGGAGAAAGCACTTGTTTGTACAAGATCCCCAGACCTGTAAATGTTCCTGCAAATTCACAGACTCACGTTGCAAGTCGAGGCAGCTTGAGTTAAACGAGCGCACTTGCAGGTTTGTGTCCTGAAGGATGAAACACACAAAGAGAAAGAGAGAGAAAGAGAAAGAGGGGGGGAGCTTGCTTCCTGCTGACTTCTGGCACCAGTGCTATTTCATTACTTCTTTTCTCTGTCCTACGTGGGCCAGAGAGCAGAGGGGCTGACTGGGGTGAGGACAGTTTCCCTGTGTCAGAGGGCAGCTCTTTGTTTCAGGTGTGCTCTCAGGACTTGGATGGGGATGGCTCCCAGAGACAGGCCCTTTGTATCTCCGGTATTCTTTTCCATAGAACAGGATAATGGAGTTCATGTTGCTGAGGTTGGCAGGGGAGGGTCTGTATCACTCTGTACCTTACCTGTACGCAACTCTGAGCATACTGTTGGGCAAAGAGAAATCTTTAACTGACTAGGATTCAACCACCCCTGTCTTCCAAGCCCTTTTTCTGTGGCTTGTAGATGCTCTGCTGTGTGCAGAATGAGGAAAGCCATTACGAGCCTCCCTCAAGGCTGAGTCTACATTCTCCTTTGCCTCTTTGTTCTTCTAAAGGCCAGGGAGAGCACCCTGTGTTTTTGTACTGTGCTCACAGTTCCCTGTCCATGTCCTGTCCACAGTTGTGGTTTGAGGCTGCACTCAGGACTGTGAATGGAATACAGCAGGATTAAGTCTGACCCTGGGTGAAGGCAGAGGTGCCTGTTTCAGATGTGAGGTGGGAGACATAAAGGCACTGTGGGGTTAGTGTTAGTTCAGAGATCTATGTTGTGCATGTGTCATCTGAGTGCTGTCACACACCATCTGTGGCACAGACAGGTAAAGAAACTGATTCTCGGTTCTCACCTGAGCACTTCGGTGAACTCAGTGGGGTGTCTTGACTCGCACAAGCTACGTGTGCACCTCTGGTGTGGGATCATCCTACCTGTGTAGAGAGAGACAAGAGAAATGGGGTTGCTGATGAGCACTTGGCTGTGACTCTGAACTCGGATCCCTTTAACAGAGATCTAGGAGATTGTTCCTGTTTCTGCAGTAGTGCAGCGGCAGCGGCTCAAGGGGAGAATACAACAGGGTCCTCTGTGGCTTTATCTTGAAAAGAGGAGACATCCATTGGCTAGGTGGTTAAGGCTGTTACAAGTAACAAGCACTTTCTTTGGGTGTGAAAATTCTTTTTGTCCAAGCCAGAGAGGCGTTGGCACTGCCAGCATGGTGGAAACTGCTCTGTGTACAGAGAATTTTTCTGGGGTGCTGTAATTTCAGTAAGAAAGTAATTGATGGAGGGGCCAGAATAGAGTGACTTCCAGACTTAAACTTCTCCTAGCAAGTAAAACCTCTGAATTCTGAGACCAGACTTAATGTTGGCCTTTTCCCCCCTGCGCCTTTTCTCAAAGTCCAGAGTAACTGATAATTACCCCAGTGAGTTTGAAGGGTCAGAAATAGTAATAAATACAATGAGAAACAAACAAAAAAAAATAGCCCAAAGAAGTCATGGTGGCAGAAGGGGTTTTCAAGTTTCTCTTACTAGTCCCTCTCTGTGATGGGATAATAGGCACTAAGGGAGGTTTCAGAGACAATGTGTTGGCCAGAAAAATGGAAAGGAGGCATAGGAGTGGTTAGCTTATCAGTTTCCAGATAAAAAGCTGGTTAAGCTGAAGTTCCTCTTGCTCTTTCTTGTAGAATTAGTATTGGGACCTAGAGGGGAGGGTAAATTCTCATTTCTCCTGCTGCTTCTTCAGGCCACTGCTGTTCTCTGGTGCTAACCCCCACTCACAGCAGCTAGTGGAATGAAAAGCTCTTACTTTTCACCTTCTTGCCTGCATGTGGCCTTGTTGTCTGCACTGCTTTCAACCCAAACAAGAGGCTAGGTGGAGAGCCGAGGGTGTGTCTCTGCATGCATTGCTTAGCCTTGTTTTTCTGTGTTTGTGTGTATTTGTGTGTATGGTGTGCAGAGATGCAAACAAGACACTCAGCTTATCTGTGAGGAAGCCACTGATTCTGCTCCAAAATTTTGTTTGAGTATCCCCCCTGCTCTGTCTAGGTGAGCCTGGGGGAATAGAATTCATTGACTCGTTTGTGGGATTGAGATTCTCAGCTGATTTGCCCCATCTGCCCAGCACTCACCCCACCAGTGACGTCATGCCATGTCTTAACACCATGTGCTCTTAAACACATTAGCCACCACCCTTCCTTCCCTTCCCTGCCCTAGCTGCACCCCCATCACAAACATTAACCCCTGTTCTATTTTTTTCCTTCCTTCTCTTTGACAGATGTGAAAAACCAAGACGGTGAGCAGCGGAAAAGAAGGGGAAACAGCCCTGTTTCTGGAGCCTGATTTCTCGCCTGGACAGAATAAAACAAAACAAAACACTAATCCAAATGAACCCTAAAAATGAAGGATCGGTAGAGCACAGCACTTTCAGTACGGACGATGGACTCCGGAAGGAACATTCCCCAAGGCACCCGCCGCACAGAATTCACCTTTGGGTTTTGAACTGTTTTATTTTATTTTTCTTTTTATGCTGCTAAATAACAGAGCCAGGAAGACTTATAGGGGTGTATTTGATGGGTTTTCCCATGCATACATATATATGTGTGTATACATGCATATACATATATATATATGTATATATATTTTAACCACATCTATATATACATATATGTATATCTTAACCACACACACACACACACATATATATATAATATATATATATATATATATACTGATTATTTTTTTTAACATTGCTAATGTTATTGGTGTCTTCACTGGATAATACTCGACTGCTGTGGACACAAGCGGGCTACTTGGGGCATAAGAAACAAGCTAAGACTGGACTTGAGTAGAAGCGCTGGGTGTAAACTTCTTAACTCTAACTGACTTGTGCGGCCTCCGCTGTTTCTCTGTAGAGTGTGCTGTACCACAAACCACCTTCTCCATGCCTGGGACAGGGAGGAGAGGTGATGGAGAGGATGGGCAGGGAGTTCCAAAGAGCGGCATCCTAGGGTGCGATGGGTCAAAGGCCAAGAAAATGGCCATCTCCGTGATCAAGGATTCCTCCTCCCCTCTCTTCCCCCAACCTTCGCCCTTACTCGTCTCATAACCTGCCTGCCTTGCTGGGACATGGGATGTCAGTGTACATTTTTGCGTTGACTTTATTCGCTGTAGAGCCTTTGCCAGAGAGACATGCTGGCTTCTCTTAAGGATGGTGGGCAGCTGATGCGCACTGACTTTCTGTTCAAGGAATTATCACAGGAGTCTAGATTTCCGGCCCTTGGTGGCTGCAGAAGGACACAAGGTCTACAGTGTGCTGAAGCAAGAATGGGGACCGGTGCATAGCCACACAGTTGTTCAGCACTGTCTGCTTTCTTCATGCACAGAGCTGCCACTCAAGAGCATCCAAGATGCTTACGGAACATTTCTGGAAAGGGATATTAATCAGAAGTATATACACAGTAGTGGGGGTGTGTGTGTATGTATGTGAATGTATGCATTTGTGTGTATGTATGTATGTGTTTTTCTCTCTTTTTTATATATATATATTTATTTTTATACATATATATATATAAAAAAATAATATATATGTATGCCAAGATTGAAGGAGGGAAAAAAGAAAGCAACTTTTGCTGCCTTCATTTTGTATGCCCAGTGTGAATGACCCTTAAGAACGTCAAAATTTCTTTTTTTAATGATGTACTGTAAATATCAGGCCCCTTTTCCATGTCTTGGGCTGGGGAATCAAATGTGAAGACAGCTGGAGTCCTTAGCTGTGTTGTGAGGTTCTTGGCTATGTGTGTATCTGCAGTGTAGGCTGTGGTGTATGTGAAACCCACCTTACACACGCGCGCACACACACACACCCCTGAAAGTGTGTTTGTACATCTATGTGGATATATATAATCTAGTTCTGTGATTAAAATTATTATTAATAATAATAATAATCAAAAAGGTACTCGGTCTGTGTCAGAATGCTGCCAAACATCATCTGCAATTGAATTTTCAACGCCTGATAATGTACAACACGGAAAGCTTCCAAAAAGACAAGACAGTCTAAAAACAGACTCACAACAAGCGACTACTAACCACTAGGATCTCCCCATCCGACTGATGGCTTTCAGAAGGAGAGAAAACACACGGGTGGGTGCTTGCATCTGCAATGTAGAATACTCATGCTGCATCGTGTGCAAGACAGAGGCTTCCGATCGGGGGAGGGAAGAGAAAGTGTTTTATATACTTATTTAATATCCCTTTTTAAATTAGAAATTAAACAGATAATTTAATTAAAGAGTAGGGATTTTTCAGTATTCTTTGTTAATATTTAATTTCAACTATTTATAAGCCGTACCTCCTTCTTTTTTTTTTTTTTTTTTTTTTTTTTTTTTTTTTTTTTTTTTTTTTTGTACTGGTTGTGTATAAATTTAACCTTCCTGTTGTCCCATCCCATCTCTCCCCAATTGTTGGCAGAGTCAGTAGCATGTTATGGGCAGTTATTTAATTAATTTCTCTAACACCTACCCCTACACATTCCTATTGAGACAACGGTTAGATATACATCTACATACTATATATATATTTGGCTATGTGTTTGTATATATATATATATATGTTTATGTATATGGGTGATTCGGATTAAATAGACACTACAATTTTTTTATATATGTAAAAAGAAGAAACAGGAAAAAATAGAAAATTCTACATCTTGAATCTCTCTCCTTTTTAATTTTAATATTTGTTATCATTTTATTTATTGGTGCTACTGTTTATCTGTAATAATTGCGGGGAAAAAAGATATTAACACTACATATTGTGTCTAGTGAATTTTTTCAAGATATTCCTTAGTACATATTTATTTTTAAACAAAGAAATTACAGATATATCTTAAAACAACGACGACGACGACAAACAAACTTTTTTTTGTATTAAAGAATTTAATTCTGACCTTGATTTCCTTTGCCTTCTCCTTCTGCCTTGCATCCTGGTTTTCTTCCATTGTGTAATAATTTCTCCAGTATTGCCTCTGGAGGCTACAGGGCATCAGCAACCTACCAGTTGGACTCTTGGATTTGGGCCCAGAGCTTCCAAAAACATCTAGGTACCTAAAAACCATCCAAATTAATGGGAGGTAGGCACCAGAATTCTTGTGTGGAGCTCAGCCTGAGTTCCCTGCTTGGTGAGAAGAGGGTGGTGTGATGGGCAGGACCAAGGGGGCAGGACTCCTGGGTTCCTTCCCAGCCTGATGCCGACCAGTGTGGTGATGGTCCCAACCCTGCCTCTCCCGTCAGGAGCCAAGTCCCGTGAGCTGGGTACTGTACAGGCAAGAGTAGATGCAATCCTGGTGGAATTTACAGTCCAAGGTGAAAGTAATGCTGTGAGCCTGCACTTTCTGGTAATGGACTTGGTGTTTGCAGTTGGATTTGTGTGCATGTAACTCGCCGTCAGTGACGGCTCAGCCGGACCTTGCCATCCTGGATGACTTCGAGCAAAAAACTGTTTAGCTCTGACAGAGCTCATCACTTCATGAGGGATCTTGATACCATTGCATCTTTTGTGATGTGCTTTGGGGTCTAGGAGGAAAAACTTTGGCAGTGGTGTAATTTCCTCATTATCCATGAAGATGGATGTGTCATGTGTCAGTCATCTGTCCACACTGGAAAGGAGCATGCAGGATGTTTCCTGGATGTCTGGGAGGCAACTTGCTTAGGGTAATACAGACCACTGAGTTCATGGCTGTATCATTCCTGCTCTTGTGAAGGTAAAGAGTCTGGCTTCTATTTAGGATGGACTCAAGTAGCTCAACAGGCGGATCTGCAGTCACTGCCTCAGCAGAGGGTCCTGTGGAGGAAAGAGGATGAGCACCTGAGGACATTTTGGTTCACTGTATTCAGTAATGTCTTGTGGACTGCAGCAGTGAGGTGAGAACGTGAGCCATCTGGATGTTTCTGCACGAGGAACCCAAAGGAGTTACTTCCCTTGTGTATTCACCACTGGCTTTTGTTCTGTGTGGATCTATGGGCTCTTTTACTTGTGGCTGTGCAAGGTGATGAAGACAGCAAGCCCATCCTGAGGAGACCTGGTCTGCCTGTTTGTGACCTGGGAAATGTTTACAAGTCATCAAACTGGAAAAATTGAAACCCTCAGGTAAGTGCTTCTCCCCTGAGCTGAGCTGGATGTGAAATCTCAGCATGAAGAGACCCAGGTCTCCTGTATGGATGAGCCAGCGTGTTCCTGTCAGTCACAACACATTAAACTTTCATCAGCACATCAAACCAAACACATCAAATTCCATCCCACCAATGGCAAGCTGGGCTGGCTACTCCTGGTGCCCCTCTCTTTTCCTACCTCTAAGGACTCAGAAGGAGTAGGATATCTGCAGAGCAAGGTGACCTGGTAGCCGCCTACTTCATGAGACAGTGACTGGATGGCATATTTCAGATGGGACAGCTCATAGAATTTGTGTGGATGCAGAAGAGCCAAGGTAGCTGCCTTAAACATCTGCAGCAAGACTCTGCCCAAGCCATCTCTGACAAGGGTTACCTGGGGCTCTGGAAGCAGTCCAACTCTTCTTTGTTCTCCAGGGTGGGTATAACTGGTCATCTCTTGTGAGGAACATGGTCATAGTTTGGTGTTGGAAGTGAGCTCAGGGTAGTTGGAGAGGCTGTACATGATTGAGAACCCTGCCTTTGGAGAGGCTGGGATGTAGGAGAGTAGTTGACCCTCACCCTACCCAGAGTTCGCACCTGGCTCGCCTGTGCCAGGGCCTGAGGTGAGGCAGGGACACGTGGAGGGAGGCCAGGTTTTCAGGCTGGCACTCTGATCTCGTCATACAGCCTTTCACCATGTGCATGAGAACTTTCCCTGAAAGGCTTCTGGTCACGTCCACGTTTTGGTTGCTGGCTAATTAAAATGCTATCTTCAGGCAGCCAGCTGATGCTTTCCTCGTGCCTGCTGCATTTATTCTGTGTGATTCAGAGAGCGGAGGCACCGTGAAAGGCAGAAAAGGGTGCCCTGGGCAGACACAACAGAAAATCCCACTGGCAATGGAATAAAGAGTGCTTTTGGTTGGAAGCCCTGTCTGTCTCTCCCTTTTGGCACCTGCTAGCTGGTTTAACCCCTTGTTGCTCATGTCTTGTGCTGCTCATCCAGTCTCTAAGTCAGCCAGGCTCTGCCTGGGCTCCACCACCACCTACAGTGTCTGTGTTAGAAATGCCTATAAATCTCCTGTCCTTCAGCATAGTCCCACAAAGGACTTTGGAAGCCCAAAGGAAATTCATTTCACAGAACACGTCCTCCACTCTCTGCTCATGAGATCTTTGGTAGTGAGAGATGGGTATTTTTATAGTAGTCCATGTGGTGAGTGAGCAGGCAGTCTCTTTGTGCTTGGGATGGCTGAAATTCAAGGCTAATCCAGATCATCCAGCACAAGGTCTGCAGTCCTGGTCTGGGCAAGCACCGTGCTTGCTCCCAGCTCCCCATTTGGGGCCAGGCCAGTGTGGCCCTGGTGGCACTGTGCCACCTCACAAGCAGCGGCTGGCCCTTGCTGTGCCTCGCAGCACCTGACACCCTGCACGATGGGGTGGCTGAGCTGCTGGCCATCCCAGAGCAACCAGGCACTTGTGCCTGGACCTCCAGCCAAGTACCCCGTATCTCGTAAGAGGTGGTGAGTTGTGGATGAGAGCAGGGAGGTGATATCCCCTGCACAGCAGTGAAGGAGGGTGCAAAAGGAATGCATAAAGTGCCTGACCACAGCTTTGGGGAAAGCTTGCCCTTTCCTGTGGGGAGGTGGAAGGACCCCAGGGGCTTTGCATAATGAAGGGAAGAAGGGTCAGGTTCCCCTTCAAATATCAGAGGTTTGCTGGCTGCCTACCTCAGGATAGTATCTCCAGAGCTGCAACTCGCTCTCTTGTGTGAGGTGATTACAGACATATAAAGGGATAGCAGGCTTGTTGGGCAAGTGCCACCTGTTTACCTGCCTAAGGCCAAAAAAGCCTTTCCATAGGGATTTCTTTAAACTTGCTGCTTCCATACATCCAGGTGAGCAATGCTGCCTACCCACAACTGAGAGACATCAGGAAATATCTGCAGTTCTGGGCTATACCTGTACATTGTGACATGGGCCTAATCTTGCTGGTTCATGGTCTATATTTTCACCTCGCTTTTTCAGATGCCCCAAACACTTCTTTGGGAATGAAAAAAAAGCTCCATCTCTCCCTAGCCTTTGTGTGCCCAAGCATCTCTTTAGGCATCGGGGCTGCCCACTGCAGCCAGCTGCCGCAGGGTTCTGTGTGTTTAGCACCCATGCGCCTCTACTGCCCAGCCCACCACATTGCTCATCTCCTGGCCAAGCCTGGTGCATGCAGCAGGGGGAAGGCATCCTTCAAGCCTGATGCCAGCACAGGAGGGCTTTACTTCGGGGCTTACTTTGACACCTCCTTTGTCAGCTGTTCTGAGTTGTTGGTGTGCTCCATGCCTGGAGAGTGTTGTGTAGTGGGACCCAGGCTAGGGAGAGTGTCTGGCTCTGCTCAGCCCCCTGCCAGGACTGGTGATGAGTGTCAATTCCTGCTGAACATTCCCCAGGGAGGCTCACGTAATCCCAAAACAATCTAGGATGCAGGTCAAGATGCCTAGCTCCCAACCTGTGTGGTAGCTTGGAGGTGAAAAGCTTTGGCCCCACATTGGCGTTATCTCTGAATCTTGATCAAATGGGTCTGTGGTGAAGGAAGGGTATGATTGATGCAAGCTCTTCAGCCGTTGCAACCCTTTTCAGTGGGAGCATTATCTAAGGCGAGATAAAAAGGGGGAGAGGCAACACAAGATGAGCAAAATGATCAACTTATGCAAGTAATTCAGTTCCATCACCTCTTCAGAGATTTTAAGACCTGAGCCCTTCATCTTTGTTTGCCCATAACTCCTTCCTGAGCCATGGTGTACACTTTGGAAAGGTGTCCAAGCTGCCATCTCACTGCCTGGCCTTCCTGTACTTCTCACCTACAGAGAACCTGCTGGTACTGGATCCAGCCTGTGCCACAAACATACGGATACCAGAGATGCTTGTGTCATTGGCCTCTTCTCCAGAAGCAAGATTCCCACCAGCATCTCTTCCTGCCCTTCCTTCTGTCCTCAGTTCTGACACCATGAGTGCCCCAAGAGAGATTTATGATTGACTCATTCCTTTCAAAGAAACCCCTCACCTGGTTGCTCAGATGCCTGTGCAAATACTAACTTCTGGAAATGCAACTTCCTGTTGATCATCTCTACTTTTTTCTTCACTGTTCCAATTTGCCCATTCTCCCTCCAAGTCCCCTTCCTTTATGTTGGGCAGCTTGCTGGAAGGTTCAAGTCTTCTTTTTTTGCACTGCAAGAACCTCACATCTGGGAGAAGCAGCCTGAAGACTCCTGAGCAGGTTATGTTTGTTCCTAGGTGTTGTTGTTCCTGGGGATAAGAAGCTAACTCCTACTTTGATTTATCTCACTACGGGTAGTATGGTGAATGGGGGTCAACGGCACAGGATATGATTGTTTCCAGTCCTCATAGGCATAATAAATTATGAGTCATTGGATCATCCTGAGTTATTCAGTGACTAATCTGACGCTGGTCTTGAGGCCGAGGGCCAATTTTTTGTTGCAGTATTGGCTTCCCAGAGCTCTGTGTTGTGGATGCGCAGTGTAGACCTAGTTGATACACAGCACTGGGAGAACTGGCTGAGCTGCCGGAGGAGGTGCTGATGAGTCAGGGAGTGGCACTGCCCTCTGCACCAGTACCCCACGGGGGTGGCTGGATGTACAGTGCAAGTGGCTGTGACTTTTGTGAGTCACTTTGTGGGACTGAGTGTGATCCACACCCTTGCTGAATTGTTGGGACCAGTCACGGACTCAAAGACATCCCAGGGGAACAATTTGTGGGTTTAGATTGTCTTGTGAACCATGTGCTGCTGTCCTGA